CTTCTGTACATATGTTTCTCTTATTGGTTGATGAATAAAACACTGTGGCCAATAGGGCAGCAAGATAGGTAGGTCTAGGAGAAGAGGAGGATATTGTAAGATGTAGGCAGGGGCGGGAATCATCATGTAAGCCCCCCCCCCCCCCCCGGGAAGAGGAGGCAAGTGAGGCATTCTCTGGTAAGATAAGACCATGTAGAAATACATAGATTAGTCGTTATGGATTAATAATTAAGACAGAGCTAGGGAATAAGAAGCCCTAGTCAACAGCCAATAGTATTATAATTAATATAAGTCTCTGAGTGTTCATTTGGGGCTGATGCGTTGTGGGACCAGGCTGGCGGGAAGAACTATCCGTTAACACTGAGGCGAATCAATTTGTATACGGCCATAATCTGGGAAGGAGCTGAGGAGGATGTTCCAAGACCTGAGGCTTCTTCCACACCTCTCTTAAAGAAGCAGATCCTGGGCTAGAAGCAGCCAGGATGAGAGGGGGAAGGGCCATAGAAGCCTGCTGGACCAAGACATGAGGGTGAATAGAATAGTCCCCCTTTGTGGGTCCCAGAGAACAAACTGGATCCACCGGGACTAGTCCTTGTGCAATAACATGCCTCTGCACCCAGGCCAAAGACGGGGCAGAGTGTTTAAGGACACTTCATTTGGGCACATAGGCATGTGAGCCGCATGTGGGAGCACCTTGTGGACCTGGACTCTTCAGGAAAGCTCTGTGGGCTCAGCCTCCCTGTTGTACATTTTGATCCACAAACCAACACTTCACACTGAGGCCAGAAAGGCTTTCTGTGACACAATCAAGTCAGCCAACTTTATAAAGCCTCCCTGTCTTACTTGAGGATAGGCTCTGCCAATGGGACCTGCAAGGCTTCCTCTCCAGCCTCTTCCCACCGCTGTTGCCATCTATAGCCCTGCTGGGCTGGTTCCTGCACCCACATCCCCATGAAGCCCTCAGACTGCTGGCTGCCCTGACCTCCAGCCAGTTCAGCTGTCACCTGCTCTCAAAGTACTCGGCATAGTAGCCATCTAACTTTTGCTCTGTGATGCTGTGGTGGGCAGTTATCTCCTCCTGAGATGGCGTGGGAGGTTGCTTGGAAACCCTGCTTCATGCTTGTATGTTTGCTTCTTTCACCTACTAAGGCACAGCAGATGGGGGTTTCCTAGATACTCCCTCTTGTGGTGATCACACTCTACCTATTTTCCTGGTTATTTAAAGTGTCCTTTTGTGACACAGCAGATACTACTATGGCTGGCTTCTGGCTCTACCAGGGGCTGCCTATGGAGTTAGCAGGGCAGGCTGAGAGCAGAGGAATACAGCTCCATGTCTAACCCCAAACAGTAGCCAGTACCCCAGAGTCTTGGGATTTACAAAATGGTGGCTACTCAGTCAACTAGGAAGAAAACGTCAGTCCTTATCAACCCTTAGAGAGGGTTGAAAAGCCATGACAATTAATGTGTGCTGGGTGCAGGCACATTTTAAAAGAAATGACTTAGGCAGATGATACAAACTCAGTAACTGTGAGGCTGAAGCCTGGAGGTGATGAGCCAGAATGCTATTTCCCCCAAAGTCTCTTTCCTTCTCTGTTCTTCTCTCCTCTTACATTGAGCAGACACAGACTACCCTGCAAATAGCTCACAACCTCTGCCCCATGCCAGTCTCCTGTTCAGGAGAACAAAGGGGGGCTTCAATTAGAGCAGAGCCAGTGTACTTCTTCCCAGAGTGTGACCACACCTTTGCTGTCCTGGGTGGAAGTCACCTTTAGTATGATACCTGCCACACAGGACTGAAGACCGGTACTTGTCAGCAGACAAGTTCTCCAAGGTTGTGTTTTTATCAGAGCAACAAGGTCAATAAGTACAGGTTATGACACACTTCCTGCTGTATAGAGTAGGCATTTCTTTAAGTCTACCAGACCTACCAGCATGGGAGATAAAAGTGCACCAACCCAGCTTTTGAGCTTGCCATGAAGACAGAAACATGCCAGACTTCCAATCACTCAGCTATCACCCAACCAATCCGGGGTCAATTTTATAGAAATCTTCTGTGTACTTTGAAGTATGATGATCTTCAATATTACAAACACCAAAACAATTTTAAACAGACAAACAACAACAAAAGCCAGCACCAGGTTTTAAAAATCCTTACTGCTCTGAGCTTTCTGAATGCCATTTTCTTTAGCAAGAGACATAATTTGCAGTCAGGATGGGTAGCCATTACTTTCTTAATGGCCAACTACCCAAAAAGGCTCAGTAAAGTGATCTCAACTAGCAACTAATCAATTAAGATTGATAAGTGAAATACTTTTAACCTTTATTTCAGCCGGGCCCTTCCTAGGGGAAAGAGTGAAGAAATGTGAATTCCCAGCATAAAATGTAATTCCATTTCACCGATATAACACTGAAGTGAGCTGTCTCCCTCTCTGCATGGATCAAATCAGAGAAAGACTGGTTCTCGATCAATTCTAGCCTTACAGAAATCACTGTGGCTGTTTCTCAGGGTGGAAGGGTCAAAGGAGACAGGTCATGATTCCTTTGTTTCTCTAACAAATGGAAGATGAAAGCACAAACAAGAGAAATGCCAGGAAAAGAAAAATGAGCCAGTGAGGTACTCTTCTATCTACATCTTGACCACTCAGTGAAAGGTGCCCACATGCTGGGTACCCTGGCACTCTGCAGGAGTTGTGCTGAGCTACTAGCTTCTCAGATTAGGAGTTAGGTTGTGGCTGTGGCTTCCATGGCATCTTTCACTCAGTCACTAAAGCAAGACTTGCCACCTCTCTGTCCTTTTCCTCCTTGAGTAGTAAGGATGGGAGCTGCAGCCTTGTGTATGTGAAGCAAGGCTTTCCAGGAGTCTTCTACCTGCAATCACCCCCCCGCCCCCAGATGGGGTTTCTCTGTGTAGCTTTTGCTGTCTCAGGACTTGCTCTTTAGACAAGGGTGGCCTTGAACTTACAGATCTGCTGCCTGCTGAGTGCTGGGACTAAAGGCATGTGCCACAATGCATAGCAACCACCCTCAGTTTTCAATGGAAAAAACAGAGGTTGTGGTGGAGGAGAAAGAGTAAGGCAGAGCTGGTTTAAAAGCTAACACTTAATGGTTTAGTCATGAGAGCTGGTTACACAGATGAAGTTTTGTTAAAATTCACTGAACTATATACACTGAAGGTTGGAGGAATTTATTTTATATAAATTATGTCTCAGAAAAGGGTTTCAAACAGCCAGACTACAGAGTGGCTCCTGCTGCTTCCATTCGCCTAGCCCACACCTCTTCTTGGGGATTATCCTCTTTAGTCTCCTTAGGGTCCGGAGTTAACTGAGAACTCTACTCTAACTTTTATAGTTGTTTCTGTCAAGGCTACTTAGCTGGCATAATCCTAGGGCTGATGGTGGCCATCTTTCTATTAGCTGGGGAAAAAGGACAGCAGGGCCAAGAGATGGCAAGGGGAGGATTTCCATGTGACTGTCTGAACACCCAGATTCAATGTCTGAAGATAGTGTGACTCAGCCTTTCAAAAGCTATCAGTCAGCTCCCTTTCTTTTTCCATTATGTGGCTGGTTTGGGTTTTCTGTTTCTTAAAAGACTCCTAACACAGGGATGGAGAAATGTGCTAGGCAGTTAGGAGGGCTTGCTACTCTTACAGAAGACCTAAGTTCAGTTCCCAGCACCGACAAGGTGGCTCATGCTGATAACTCCAGGGGATCTGATACCTCTAGCCTCCAGGACACCTGCATTCATTACTTGTATCCCATATCCTGCATACACATACACTTAAAAATAGTAAAAGTAGATTTTTTTTCAAGACAGGGTTTCTCTGTGCAACAGCTCTGGGTATCCTGAAACTCATTTTGTAGACCAGGCTGGCCTTGAATTCACAGAGTTCCTCCTCCCTCTACCTCCCAAGTAAGTGTTGGGGGAAAGTAGAACTTGAAAGCCATATAAGTGTGAGAAAGATCTAGGAATACCATCATTTCTTTTAAATCTCAATTATAAAATGGCCACGGAGAAACATGCTTGTGACCCTAGCCCTTTGGCGATGAGGCAAGGCGACCTCAAGTTTGAGGCCAGTGTGGCCTATTTTGAGATACTCTGTCTCAAAAATAAAATTTTTATTTTATTTGCCTTATGTTGCCAAGGGAAATTTGAAGCAACGAATGATGGTGTACTAGTTATTTGTTTTCCCCCTTTTACATTTTTTTTTTTAAATCAACTTGACACAGGCTGAAATCTTTTGAGAAGAGGGAATCTCAGTTGAGAAAATTCCCTCACAAGATGGACCTATGGCCATGCCTGTTAGGTAGTTAATGATTAATGACTGAATGGGGAGAGCCAAGCCCACTATGGTAGTGCTGTGGCAGGTGGTCCCTGTGCTGTATAAGAAAGCAGACTGAGCAAGTCATGAGTAACAAACAAGCCAATAAGCAGCACTCCTCCATGGCTTCTGCTTCAGTTCCTGCCTCCAGGTTCCTGATTTGAGTTCCTGCACTGACTTCCTTCGATGACAGACTGTGATGTCAGCTAAATAAACCCAAGTTGGTGTTGGTTATGATGTTTTATCCCAGCTACAGAAATCCTAAGACAATGGTCAATACAGTTCAAGGTTATAGGTTGAGCACATATCTTTCTGATTTGCAAAGCCCCCATTCTTACCTAAACACTGGTGGCTTGTTTTGGGGTTTGTTGTGTCTTTTCATTTTGATAGTTTGTTTTTTACAGGCTCCTTTTGGCATCAAGAAACCCCCTTTCCACTGGACTCAGACAGAAACCCTTTAATTCACAATGCCAGAAAGGCTAGTGCCATTCTCATCCTGTCAATGAGGGCCCCACTCTCACTGGACCTCCTACTGTCCAGCACTGACCTTTCAGTATGGTCCTGGGTCAGTGGCAGTACAGACTGCATGTTGTACACACTCCCACCCCTGCAGCAGGTGACCCAGTAGAGCAGTGTCCTGTATCCCTTGGCCCATTGGTGCAGGACAAGATGGCCAACTCACTCAGATCCAAGACATCATCTGTTTTGATCAGGTCCTCCTCCCGAGTCAGTGGCAACTGGGTCTCAGGTTCTCCACGCAGCTGCAGTGACAGGGAACGCAGCATGAAGAATACCCGGATGGCCTAGATAGAGCAGAGAACAGAGGAGAGTAGGGTTTCAGGGGTATTCTGGAGAGATGCCATGCACGAAGGCATTTCATGGTGAATCTTGGTTAATGGAAAGGAAGGAGGGGGATAAAACACAGGCCAGCCTGAAGCACAGTGACCCGGAGCTATCATATTAAGAGGATACTTCACACTGGGGGAGCAGCCTGCTTCAGTCCACAATAGGTACAGGGCTGGGTCACTTCACTAGGCACCTGCCATTTGCCAGGACCTGTTCCCAAGGGTCATGTGAACTTTAACATACATCTCCATTCCACAGCCAGCAAATGGCTAAGACTCAGGGAGGCAACATTTCCAGGAAGGGCTACAACTGCCCTGCTATTCCAACTGGGCTAGTGGGGCTGGGAGATAGAAATCCGCAGCATGTTTGCCAGTCCTATCTAGTAGATGTGGGCACGAGACAAGAGAGTAACATGCATGTAAGCTTTAGATCTGGCTAGACTCCATTCCCATCTTAAGTCTTCCACTTCTTGGGCCTTGGCCTTATGAAGAGGAGTGTGACAGAGACAGGTGAGGCCTGATACCTGGCCAAATGGACAGCAGGATCCTTGATCCCCTCAGGCTTTCCCAGTTCATGTTAGGGGCAGAGATAGCTTGTCAACACAAGCATCCCTGGCCCATGGAAAAGGGGTCTGTCAGCATCCAGTATGGCCATCAGGCATGTCCTGAGAGCAGAGAAAAGGCCATGTCACCAGATGCCAATGTCTTCTGTGCAGAAGCAGCCCTCAGCCCCAGAATCAAGCTAGCCACCAACCACAGAGCCCAAAAGCACAGTGCAAAACACAGGTCAAGGTACCCCACCCCCACCCCGAGTCCCCAGGTCTCTCCCTGACATGGAATGGTGGACTTACTGGGACATAGCTCCGAAGGCACACAGACAAGGTCAGTATTGCCCTCTACCCTACTATGGTGGATAAGATACAGTAATCCTTAACTCTGGCTATGCTACAGCCCTGAGACAAGGCTGGAAGGTACAGTCAACACAAGCCTGAAGAAAGGGGTTTTTGATAGATACCAATAGATACCCAGGCTTTTGATAGATACCGATACAAACATAAAGGAGTGTCAGGGCAAACCATTGTGGCTTCACACAGATGAATTCTTGTTTGTGGTAAAGATGGTGACAGTCCTGCCTTACATGAAGGGAAGATTCCTTTTATTCAGGAGGAACTTTCAAGAAAGGAGAGGGGACAAATTCTTGCCTTCAAGGGGCTGGAGGGGCATTGCATCCTGGTATCTCAGGCAATGAGTATCTTTGATTAGCTACCAAAGCCCTGATCCTGCCTTGAAGCAGGCTCCTCATGTAGAAACTTCAAGAGTACTCTACAGCCCTGACCTCATCTGAAGGAACACAGCCTTCTGAGTAAAGATGTGAAGTGGGGGAGGGAGTGTCACTGGGATTATCTGACATTGTAAGTTCTCAAGTATAAGTAGTTACAATTTAGGGATGAGAAGAAAGAAAGAAAAGGGCCTATTGTAGGCATGTCCCAGTCATGGGAAAAATTAAGACTGTGCCAAGTTCACTGCTTGCAGGGTTCTGATGGCAAAGATTCTCAGTAGGGTCATGGATGAGATGGGAAAAAAAAAAAAAAACAACAAAAAAAACATGCTGCTTTCTGTAGCCCATCCCTTGGAAGACTGAGGCTTTCCAAGGAGTCTATGAGTTAGGAATTTGGCTCTTATTGCAGGTCTTTTGGTAAAACATCTGCTTTCACTCTACAAATATCGAATGGAAGATATTCCCAGGAATACAAATAAAAAATAGTCATTTAAAATATAAAGTTGAAATAGAAGCCATATAAAATACCATTTCAAATAGCAACTTTTAAGGGAAAACCACATCTACATGAAGCCCACGTCCAAGAACAGAAAGAGGTGAGTCCCACAGGGCAGGGTGTTTCTCATTGCAAAAGTGGGCTCCCAAGGTGCCTGGAAGGGCTGGCAAGCATGCTGTCCCTCGCCATGGCCACTTCATGCGACCACCCTGGAGACATTAACAGCTCCCTTTCACCACTCACAACCATTGAGCACTGTGTGGGGCCATGGGCATCATCTCATTTGCCCCCCCCTTTTTTTTGAGACAAAGTCTCTTTATGTAGTCCTGGCTCTCCTGGAACTCACTCTGTAGACCAGGCTGGCCTTGAATTCAGAGATTCATCTGTTTCTGTCTCCCAAGTATTGGGATTAAAGGTGTGCACCCACCATGCCCAGCCTATCATTTGAGCCTCTTAATGACCCTGTGTCACTCCCATCTGACAGAACTGGAGCCCAGGGCTGTTAGGCTGGCTACCCAGGGTCACTCCAAAGCCTGTGTTCTTCTGACCACATTGCTTGCCCTTCGAAAGATTCAGATTTTTATCAAGTGATCTTCTTTTCTTTGCTAAATTAAGACACAAAATTTTAAAGTCATAACCAAAAGGAATAAGAAACAATTACTGTTTCAGATCCTGGAAGGCAGAAGATCACATTTCAAAAGGGAAGGCAGTTGACCGAGCTCTACCATGAAGAAGAAACTTTGTTTCTCAGCTTCTGTGAGTCTGGAACCTTAGTAACATTCAGTATCTGGAGAACCAGACCATGAAGAGGCTTTGGAGAGGAAGGTCTGGAGTCAGAAGGTTCTCAGCTCTGACTGGGGCTGAGTGAGCATAGGAATTCCCTGAGGCTAGAGCTCTAGTGAGGGCTGCATGGTAAGTCCCCAATGAGGGTGCACCATGGCACAAGATGGAGTCTGAGCCTTGGGCTGGCCGTGGGACAAGCGCTCAGTTCACCTCTGGCGATTTCCTTGGCACATTTGCAAGCTGTTGGGTGTAGGTGACAGTCATTCAGGTTAGAAGACACCAAGGCTGCGGGAACAGCTGTGGAAGTCAGTCATCCTGAAAACAGGATTGAAGCAGTTTGATGTGGATCCAGCCCAGAGGGAATGCTAGGTGGTGATGTTAGAGATGTACAAAATAACATCCATACCCTTTGAATCAGAAATTCCGCTTCTGGGAACTTCTCCTAAAGAAATAATTCAAAAGAAAGAAAACAGTGTGTTCATGAAGCAGCTCTTACAGTTTGGCTGAAAAGAGTGGGATATAGTGGAAGCACCCCAAACTCTAACTAATGGGAAAACATCTATGGGAACTGTGGCAAAAGTCTCCTGGGAAATCTTTATGAAGTCCTAAGAAGTCACTTATAAAACTGTCAGATAGGTGTGGTGGCACATGCCTTACCCTTGGGCTGCAGAAGAAGGAGAATTAGGAGTTCAAGGTGATCCTTGGCTATAAAGTGAGCTCAAGGCCAGCCTGAACTACATGAGACTGTCTACAAAATTAAAGAAAAAAAAATTCTCCATTGTGGGCTGGGAGTGATGTCACTGGTAGCATGCAAGAGGCTCTGGGAAGCATATCCAGAGCTTCAAAAACACTATCACAACAGGAAAATTCATACTACAACAAAGAGAGGAGAAACAGAAGATGAAAGTGAGATCATGGCAAAGATACCCTTTGCCATCATCAGATGAGTTATAGACAAAGATGGGAGGAGAAGCAAAAAAAAAAAAAAAAAAAAAAAAAAAACAAAAGGTTCAAATATAAAAAAA